TATGGCGGCCAATTTTTTTTATTTATTTTTTTCCTGGTTCTAGTGTTCGGGCACGGAGGCACACGTGTCCGAAGCCCAACGCGCGAATTTCGTTTTTCGGAATTCGACGCGCCATGTTTGCGATACACAAATACAAAACAATTAGCATGATTGCTTCAGTCTGTTCCATCAGGCGTTCACGAACTCATCACGAGGGCTAAACCCCGACAGTTTGTCCAGGATCTGTGTGTGTGCATGTGAATGCGTGCTGCCATATCCGCTATACACAGCTCCACAGAAAGTGTGTGTGTGTGTGCGTGTGTGTGTGTGTGTGTGAGTGTGTGCTGCCATATTTGCTATACACAGCTCCACGAAAAGGCATGACTATACCAGACCGTTTCATTTTACCTTCACAGACTCTTCGCAAGGGCTGAACTCAAACAGTCTGCCCAGGATGCATTTAATTGATAGATAAGGACTCACCGCGCCGTCCGGGCTCACACCAGCATTGAAGAGTGTATGCGAGAGTGTGTGTGTGTGTGAGAGAGAGTGTGTATGCGTATCTGTGTGTGCGTGTGTGTATATCATGTTGACTATTCACAAGTCTACAAGAAATGCATGCCTGCGTCAGACTGTCCCATGTTTGTGTGTGTGTGTATTCGGTATATAAAGGTGATGGACTGTTTCGTCAGACTTTCACCAGCTCATTAGGAGGGTGAAATCCGATAGTCTGCCCAGGATGCACTTGACTTATGAATAAAAGACTTACCTCATCGCTCAAGTTAGATATACCTCTGAGAAAAGTGGTCGACTTTACTCATGCCAACCCTGCAATCCTAGCAGGCTGCCGGTCCAAAACCCTGACAAAGAATGACAGCAAGTCTGAGAAACTTGTTTGTCACACCCATAAAACCCACTCTATACCTACTCTACCACGTGTGTGTGTGTGTGTGTGTGTGTGTGAGTGTGTGTGTGTGTGTGTGTGTGTGTGTGTGTGTGTGTGTGTGTGTTGTTATGCTATTCTGTTTGTGTGTGCGTGCGTGACGTCATGTTTCATTAGACTTCCACCAACCCATCAAGAGGTCAAACCAGGCACTTTGCCCCGAGTGTGTGACACATGCCCAGTTGGGCAATGCGTATGGAACCAAGGATCTGCAATGTGACAAAAAAAAAGGTTGAATGTACAATACAATGCCAGGGAAACATCAGCAATTAATGTACATCCCGATACATACAAAATGGCACAAAGTAGCGCAATGGAAGACTCAAAGATAAACCATGACCTGACTATGACTGACGCGACATCCCATCATACACTGCACATGTGAGAGAAGGAGGAGGAATCTGGATGCATAAAAGAAAGGTCCCTCCTTGACCATACACATGGGGGAGACACCACGGATGGGAGATGAGGGAGAGGCGAGACGAAGAAGGAGGTGAAGGAGAAGACCAAGATCTCGATAGCGAAGTCCAAAAATAGTCCTTCAGGCTTGCCGGGTGTCCAATCAATATCTGCCTAAAAATGACGGATCAGATCCCAGGGGCTAGGCCCGCTGTAAACTCTGCCTATAACCTCTCTCTCTATCAGAAGGAGGAGGAAGAAGGAACAAGTAGGGTGAAGAATAAGGGGAAACTCAAAGAAGGGGGTAAGGGTTAAAAGACCCAAGAGATAAGAGAGAAATAAGAAGTGGTGGGACATATACTCCAGAGTGAGTCGTCGCACCACTTGTTTGCACTGACTCGGACTACTGACATGTTCAAATATCGGACAGATAGTGGGATGATCCAGTGTGAATTATCCTACTCTTTGTCCACATGCATGTTATTCGTAAAGAATGTTTACCTGATATCGAACCAGTAGTATGAGACTCTAGTAAGGGTCGTCCTAGTACTTGTTCGAACTTAGTTTGATTTATCCTGAAGGTTAGTAGAGTACTCCAGGGAGGGAGGGTTGTTCCACTACCTGTTCGAGTAGTAGAGTGACTCTCCCTGGAGTGTCCTACTACCCTTCAAGATAGATCATACTAAGTTCAAACAAGCAATAGAAAGACCCTCACTGAAGCCTCCTACTACCAGTTCGATTATGAACAAGTGACTCTTACGACCAGCCCACATGTGGGCAAATAGTAGGATAACTTACCCAGGCGCATCCCACTACCTGTCTGGTACTGAACTTTGTACGTACAGATACATATAGTGGTAGGGCGATTAGCACTGGAGTCTTTATCCTTCCACTCTTTCAATACGAGGCAGTAGGGTAACTCACACTAGAGAACCCCACCACCTCTAATCACTCAGTCGTCCTACTCTCGCGACTAAGATGACTAAGTGCTAAGGAGTGGTGAGGTGCTCCAGTGCGAGTCACCCTATCACTTGTTTGAACTTGTGGTTCGCCAGGTACCGAAAAAGTGGTAGGATGCTTCAATGTAGGTTATCCTACTACTTGTGTGGCATACAGTATATACATTATATAGTATTGGGCTGGTGGGATGAAGACTCCAGGGTAAGTCATTCTACTGCTCTCCTATTTGTCAAAATGGTAATAGGAGGCTCCAGGGCGGGTCACCCTATTACTTATTTGACCCTAGTTGATTAACATTTAAGGAAGATAGAAATCATGAGAATTGACAGGCAGTGAGATACTCCAATGCAAGTTATCATACTGCTTGGTTATATGTGGTTACCCTATGTATATGTGTGTGTCATATCTCATTACTGATTACGTACAAATTGTTTGTTTGACATTGAACAAGTAGTAGGATACTCTAGTGGGGGTCATCCTATTACTTGTTTAAGTCAGACTGCGTCATATGCAAAAGATAATAGGTGGCTCCAGTGAAGGTCAACCTATTATTTGCTTGAATCGAAATTAATTAACAACGAGAAAGTGGTAGGATACTCTAGTGTACGTCATCCTACTGCTTGTTGTCTATTTGCTTACAGACATCTCCTCAAACGGTTAGTAGGATACTCAAATGAGGGTTATCCGACTACTTATTTGAAGTTAGTCTGTGTACGGATAGTAGGGGACTCTAGTGAAGGTCTTCATACTTACATTTAGTTTGATTAGGCTATAGTCCTCCGGTAGATTTAAAGTTCGGATTATTAAACTTCAGGTAGGATCATGTCGATAGCAAAAGGGTGTTAAGACCGTATCGACCTGTGTGTGATTGCAGATCATCTGATCAAGAAGACTCATTATGAGTCTATACAAGACTACACGATGTTGCCTTATGGTAACAGGTTGGTTCGCCAACTCAAACCTCACTCACCCTTGACACCCACACTTTGCATTTACCTCTGTACTAAAAGACATTTATGATTTTCGGGTCATTGTCTAAAAAGTCTGTATTTGGTTGAAAGGATCCTTGAATGACTAAAATCAGATAAGGTTGAATGACTAAGTCGAAAAGGGAAATTTTGGCTAAGAGGTTTGGAAATGTAAGTGTAATGTGTGTGAAAGTGAATGAATGGTTGACTCTTTTAGGATTGTGTAATGCAATTGCTTTTGTTTGCAGGTCGGCAACACCACCAACCATGTTTTATTTACGCAACTTGCATTGACAACTTATGCTTACATGAACCTCGACTCAGACACTTCATCGATGCGTAACCTTTGTATATTTGGTTTGGTATTTTTCGACTTTACTCCTTGATGCTAAACAGATTATGACAATTGGCAAAGGTCAAGGGCCTTATTCA